GCAAATTGTTAAACAGTGCAGACAGTTAAACCATGCTGACAGAACATGCAAATTGTTAAACAGTTCAGACAGTTAAACTATGCTGACAGAACATGCAAATCGTTAAACAGTACAGAAAGTTGAACCATGCTGACAGAGCATGCAAAACGTTAAACAGTTCAGACAGTCAAACCATGCTGACAGAGCATGCAAATCGTTAAACAGTTCAGACAATTTAACCCAGCTGACAAAGCATGCAAATTGTTAAACAGTACATACAGTTAAACCACGTTGACAGAGCATACAAATTGTTAAACAGTGCAGACAGTTAAACCATGCTGACAGAACATGCAAATTGTTAAACAGTTCAGACAGTTAAACTATGCTGACAGAGCATGCAAATTGTTAAACAGTGCTGACAGAACATGCAAATCGTTAAACAGTACAGACAGTTGAACCATGCTGACAGAGCATGCAAATCGTTAAACAGTTCAGACAGTGAAACCATGTTGACAGAGCATGCAAATTGTTAAACAGTGCTGACAGAACATGCAAATCGTTAAACAGTACAGACAGTTGAACCATGCTGACAGAGCATGCAAATCGTTAAACAGTTCAGACAGTTAAACCATCCTGATAGAGCATGCAAATCGTTAAACAGTTCAGACAATTTAACCCAGCTGACAGAGAATGCAAATTGTTAAACAGTGCTAACAGAGCATGCAGATTGTTAAACAGTACATACAGTTAAACCACGTTGACAGAGCATGCAAATTGTTAAACAGTGCAGACAGTTAAACCATGCTGACAGAACATGCACATTGTTAAACAGTTCAGACAGTTAAACTATGCTGACAGAGCATGCAAATTGTTAAACTGTGCTGACAGAACATGCAAATTGTTAAACAGTTCAGACAGTTAAACCATGCTGACAGAGCATGCAAATCGTTAAACAGTTCAGACAGTGAAACCATGCTGACAGAGCATGCAAATCGTTAAACAGTTCAGACAGTTAAACCATGCTGACAAAGCATGCAAATTGTTAACCAGTGCAGACAGTTAAACCATGCTGACAAAGCATGCAAATTGTTAAACAGTGCAGACAGTTAAACTATGCTGATAGAGCATGCAAATTCTCAAACAGTACATACAGTTAAACCTAGCAGGTCGCTGTCCTTCATGACTTTGATGAAACCACGACCCTGCAGACACTCAATACCGATATAAGGAATTGCGTCCAATGAAACCTCGCTTGTCCGGAATTCTCGTTAAAATCCAGAAATTAAGCGTACAACGGGCCCCTATGGTGGTTAGTTGGAACTCACTACAGTTTATAGCAGCCGTGAATAAACATTGCTGTGCAAGGCCGGATCCAGCATTTCTGAAAGGGAGGGGTCCAAAATATCAACATCATCTCTCGGTCAATTTTACTGACTACAACATACTACATTTGGTTTTCCCTGGACCCGCCCTCTGGATCCGCCAATGCTGTACAGCTTAATCAGGAAAAAGTATATGAGTAAATTAAGTCATATTTTAATAACATTGTAAATACTACCTAATATACTAATAGGCAGCTGTCATTGATGCATATACAAAGAAGATTGATAATCATATTCACTACGCGACTAATTTAGCACATGACAGAGTTTCATTAGTGGTGGTGCATGACTTCAGAGCCAATGAGTAAACTTTGGTCGTGTGTGTGCATTTATCAATATTTGTCATTTCGATCATTGATTAACGGGCGCAAGGTAAGCATTTTATGGTGTTTGAGTTTTATGTTTTTTCCTCAAATTTGTATCATAAATTATAACCAATGATGTTACTGAACGACCCCAGGGTATTCCTGGTTAGTACTGTGACAGATTCCCCACATAAGTGCAATAATCTTGGACGCGACGTTAAACACCATTTCACCTGGATAGTACGGTCAGTTTCGGCGACTTTGTTGATTGTTGCAAATATTATCAATCAGTGAGTTGTCTGTTCTAGACATGGCGTTACACAACACACACACACACACACACACACACACACCACACCACACCACACACCACACACACACACCACACACACCACACACCACACACACACACACACACACACACACACACACACACACACACACACACACACACACACACACACACACACACACACACATTCATCAAAGAAAATAATGGTCATTAGATTGTGGCGTTGTTGTCCTTGTTGACGTCATAACAGCCTCCATGACCAATGCAGCATCCGAGAGCTTTTATATCGTAGACCGATAGAGGAGAACTCGATGAAATAAAATGCCGTATGTGGTGTAGCTAATTTAATACTACTCACCAGTGCTTAAACCAACAAACAACGACTATGCTTGTCGTAAGAGGCGACAAACGGGATCGGATGGTCAGGCTCGCTGACTTTGTTAATGCATGTCATCGTATCCCAATTGCCTAGATCGATGTTCGTGATGTCAATCACAGGATTGTCTGGTCCAGACTCGGTTATTTACAGACCGTATAGCTGGAATATTGCTGAGTGCGCTTGAAAACCAAACAGAACATAACACTACCACCACTATTACATAGCTGGAATATTGCTGAGTGCGCCCTAAAACAAAACAAAAGATATTACTACTATTACTACCACTGCTACTCCTATTACTACTACTACTACTACTACTACTACTACTTCTACTAATACTAATACTACTACCACCACTTCAACTACCACTATTTCCATTATTCATATATATTTTTAAGACCTCTGAAAATCATAACTTATGCCTTAGTCAGAACAACATTTACAGCCCTTGTCTTCCAATTTCATTAAAAAAAAGTTCAACACTCAACATAGGATGTCTTGAAATCCACAAATGCAATGTAAAATCCCCATTTTCCGGTGAGTAAACAAAGGGGCATTTGTTGCGAGGTCCTCTGAGGAGCCGCAGTTTAGCATCCCTCTGGCGTGCCAGAAAACCTGTTCGTCCCGATTAGGTTTCTAGGATTGCTGGTCATGGGTTTGACCAAAGTGGAAATCGTCTAACATCTGCAATTCTTTAATTATTCTTCCTTTAAAGCAGTAATAATGTCGACGGGCGGCCTTCAACCTCGTACTCATTTACCTGACCCGAGAATATCCGGGGTAGAAATGGAGATTTCACGCAAGTGTCTCTTGATATTTTACTTCAAAAGACACAAGGGTGAGATTCTATTTATCATCCAACATCATTCTTCCAACCTTTTCAGTTTGTAAACAGTAATAAGCAGTGTCTTAAGTGTTAAAAAAATATCTGCAAACAGCTTCAGTAGCAGAGCCATTAGTGATGTCATTTGATTGTGATGTCATGGTAACCAATGACGTCACAATGGTCTGCAAGGCATTGTGATGCAATTTCATTGCAGCGATATCTACAATGTAGATATCGCAACAATGTAGATATCGCTCGATATCTCCTGTTGGAGCCAGTTTGGGATGATAATAGGAGTGCGCTGCAAAACGCCAATCGCTTGTAAGCGATGTACAGCGATTCGCCTTACAACAGTGCGCTAACTTTCAGCCGCTTGCAAGCGAAACAATCGCTGACTCAGGTCGCTTCGTTCTCAAACCAAAATGGCGGCTTACTTTGACAGCGGAACAAGGAATTCTTGACTGGATCAACGAGAAAATAAGCAAAGGTAGCTAACACCCTAGACTAAAATCTAGTCTCTGAAATGAACATATCGTACATAAAAAAAACAGTTGTTCAGTTATCTTAATAAAAATATAATAAAACGGAGCCCAGTGACTCTCTTCATTTTCAGATACTGCAGTGATCTAGACTTGCCAAACATTATAGACTTGCATGGGCTGTATTTGATATATATTTGTATCAGGGTCTGTAAGACAGACTACTAACACCCCATCATCCTCAGTCTGCTCAACATCTTCAAAGTAGTCATAAATTTCATCAGATCGTCATCGAGCCTCTTCTATTACGTTCTTCATTACGCTGATGGTCAGGCTCGCTGACATGGTTGATGCATGTCATCGTATCCCAATTACGTGGATATATAGATGCTCATGATGTCAATCACAGGATTGTCTGGTCCAACTCGATTATTTACGAAACGCCGTCATATAGCTGGAAGATTGCTGAGTGCGGCGTAAAACAACAAACAAACGTCAAGGCAACCAAGCGGTAGTTGCGCCGCCATTTTGGAAGAGTGCGCAAGCGCTTCGAACTGTTGCAGACACGTGCTTTCTCTAAGCGATTCTTGGCTTGCAACGCGCCCTAGGTCTTCAGCAACTCATGCTTGCAGTAAAAGGCGACTGTTCTTGTCGTAAACACCTTCCCGAGGCAAGAGAGTTAACTGTCCAGTTTCCACCCTTGCCGAACTAGGCTGGAATTCCTGGTCTCGATCGTAGCGCCACAAGTGGCTTTTTCGAGTTATCTTCCTTCTATGCCTCTCCTATGGACCAATCAGATTTCACCTCTCGTATTACTTGCATTTGCTTCAAACAAAATGGCGTGGCCCAGTCTCAACAAGATCTATATTGTGATAAAACGGGTCTTACATCGCGAAGTGCATCAAATCATGCGAGCACCTTGATTAAAAACATGAAAAGATTTGGTAAATATCTGTTGACAACGAGATAGCGGTGCACATGTTTTGCAAATCCTACAATCGACCAAAATCTGCATGACAGTTTACGAGCCGGATTTCGATTTCATTGCGCGATTTTGATTGGACTATGCATAGACTCGTTAATTAGTCCAGCCAAAATCTAACTCCATAATACCAGCCTAGTTCGGCAAGGGTGGAAACTGGACCTTTATAGTCAGTTAACTCTCTTGCCTCGGGAAGATGGTCGTAAGATGCGACTAACGGGATCGGGTGCTAAGACTCGCTGATTTAGTTGATGCTTGTCATCAGATGCTCATGATGAGTGCGGCGTTACATAACAAACAAACAAACAAACACTAATTTACCTTACTTCAGCCGGCCGTCCTTGTTACTAGCGTCACTCTTCTCGCATAGTCCTGCATGGAGAAGATGTCCGGAGCCACAGTCACTGAGGAGGCGTCGTGGCTTCTACTCAGCGGTTAGTAACAATTATCAAGACTAGTATACCGAAACGTTCACACCATTAACAATAATAAGTTGTGTTTTTGACCTCAAAATAATGTTTAGCTCTTCTTTTCGGAAAACAATTGTATCCCTTGACAAATGACTGACAAAGTACCCTGTCTCCAACAACGTTGATTAAGAACAAGCTGCAGTGAAATAGCTTGCATACTGACATCAGAGTGAGTGAGTTTGGTTTTACGCCGCTTTTAGCAATATTCCAGCAATATCACGGCGGGGGACACCAGAAATGGGCTTCACACATTGTACCCATGTCGGGAATCGAACCCGGGGCTTCGGCGTGACGAGCGAACGCTTTAACCACTAGGCTACCCGACCGCCCCTACTGACATCAGAATAAACTGACATTCAGATCGGCAGATTTGGTGTTACTTTTACAACAACGTTATGATTACTTTTACAATTCAAGGAAAATATCTTTAACGGTTAATGTGTTTCAGTCATATTCTATAAATGGAATAAATTAGTCCAAGGCAATAACTTGAACGTATCCAATGTGTTGTCCAAAGATTCATCGTCTGACGACGAAGAAGCTCCGTACCAAAATGCAAATGAAGAGACCTTCTTTGAGAAGTACACATCCTGTCGGTGGGTCACTGGTTACTTGTGTTGTTTAGTCCGTCTCGCTCTCTCAGCGCAACGACAATGCATGGGCATGGCAGTTGTTGTCATGACTATGTCCCACACGGGACCGGAGGTGACGTCACGACAGTCTGTTGCAGGGAATGACACATCGTCTGACCAACTTTTAAATGTAAGGGTTTTACTGTAACATATCTTAAACTCCGGGAGCGATTATTTAATTCGGGATGATGGGGTTGAGGCCGGGTGGAGATACATGTAGATGGGAGTGAGTGAGAATGGTTTTACGCCGCTTTTAGCAATATTCCAGCAATATCACGGCGGGGGACACCAGAAATGGGCTTCACACATTGTACAAATGTCGGGAATCGAACCCGGGTCTTCTGCGTGACGAGCGAACGCTTTAACCACTAGGCTATCCGAAAATATATCAGTAATTTATTTATTATAATGTTTTATTAGTAATACATACACATGTTTCTTCTCCAACACATTTTTCGACTTTTATTCAAGAAACATCAATGATGACAAATGAAATATGAAATAAAATGAACTAACATTACTTTTGTGTGTTTTACAGTACATTCTTGTGCGCAGATTCCGATTTTCAAGTTCGGAAATAAATATCTTGTTCGAGGGTGTAGAGTTTAAATATATTTTTTTTTACTGCATGGGTGATAAATTGAGGTTCACCTATAAAAAAGGTGCTTTTTTCAGGTGTAAAAAATGTGCTTTTGTTTAGGTGTAAGCCATTGCTATTCTGCTACAATGGTAGTTTCGCCTCTGTCAAACCGAATGTTTTTATAACAGTTATATAATTATATAATTCGTATTTTTGTGGACATACACACTCATCAACGGTCTTTTTTCAGAATCAGACATCAGAATTCACCTGGACATCAGATTTCGAAGGTCTGATTCTATCATCCTTCGACTTTGGTTTTTTGGCATCGCCAATCATCGGTGGCTACATTGCTGGGACTCATGGCGGGAAGAATGTCATAACCGTCACCCTGGTCGTTGGTTCGATAGTTACAATAGCAACACCAGTAGCAGCACGAGCACTCCCAATGTCTTTGGTGATTGCCCGTGTCGCCGTCGGATTCTGTATGGTAATGTATTATTATCAGTAATACTTTGTAAGACCGCCTCCGTGGTCTTGTGGTAGAGCGTCCGCCCGGAGAGCGGAAGGTCCAGGGTTCGATCCCGGGCCGCGTCATAGAAAAAGACGTTAAAAGATTGTACTTCTTGTTACCATGTCTGGCGCTCGGCATTAAGGGGCTAAAACAAGGACTGGTCGGCTCGGAGTCAGTATACTGTGTCTGAGTGGGGTATTCATGTTAAACTGCGGCATGGTATCTCAGTGAGCTAGCACTATAAATCGGCATCAGTCCGGACTAGTACAAGCAGCCACACACACACATACACGTGCATGCACGTCGCTATATAAGTGCAATAATCTTGGACGCGACGTTAAACCCAATTTCACCTCACCTCACCCAGTAATACTTTGTAGTACATTACAAGGTTTTATAGTGAGTGAGTGAGTTAATATTTAACGTCACATCGGCAATATTGACGCCATATCGTGACGAGTCAAGGTTTTATAAGTTGTTACGTGGCAGTTGAGATTGTTGTGAGTTTATCAAATATATATTACAGAAAATAGAAAATCATAGTTTGCTCTAAGATTTAGCTCAGAAGATGAAGTGACCAAAAATATATTGTCTTTATCAAAATCTCAGTCCCCTTCCTGAGTATTATATTGTGGGTCTTTAATTCCTTATTGCAGTTAAAATGTTATGGTTAAATCTGGAAGTGATGATTTTTTGGAAACTGGTTTCTAGGGGCCAATAGACCCGGCGACACAGTCCCTGTTGTCAAAGTGGGCTCCAAATATTGAGAAGGCGTCCCTCGCCTCTGCTGCTTACTCGGGTATGTGCTTGCTGTTATATATTCGGTAATTACACTCAGATGCCATATTGAAGTTCACAATATAGACGCCGTATGTTATGCATTGATTGAGAGAGCAGAGGAACAAATCTAAATTACATGAAAAATGAAGTTTACTACTTAAGTCAAATTTTGTAATGCTGCCATTCTCTTTTATTAACTGGCTTATATTGATTTTATGTACTGTTGGGTCAATGAAGTCCTGATGTCCATAACCTGGTCAATGAGCTCCTGTTTGGTTTTGATTTCATGTATTTGTATCTGCAGCAGTGATTTTATGTCCTGTTGAGACAATGAAGTCCATAACCTGGTCAATGAGCTCCAGTTTGGTTTTGATTTCATGTATTTGTATCTGCAGCAGTGATATTATGTCCTGTTGAGTCAATGAAGTCCAGATGTCCATAACCTGGTCAATGAGCTCCTGTTTGGTTTTGATTTCATGTATTTGTATCTGCAGCAGTGTTTTTATGTACTGTTGAGTCAATGAAGTCCAGATGTCCATAACCTGGTCAATGAGCTCCTGTTTGGTTTTGATTTCATGTATTTGCATCTGCAGCCATATTTTCAGAGTTCTCCACACATTTTCTAGAAATATTACAGACTGTGGGGTCATTAGGGGTTGTCTGTCTAGAAACATGGACAGGTCAATTAACCTCTTAAAAAATGTGGGGCGGTCGGGTAGCCTAGTGGTTAAAGCGTTCGCTCGTCACGCCGAAGACCCGGGTTCCATTCCCCACATGGGTACAATGTGTGAAGCCCATTTCTGGTGTCCCCCGCCGTGATATTGCTGGAATATTGCTAAAAACGGCGTAAAACCAAACTCACTCACTCACTCACTTAAAAAATGTATCCTCTGTCTGCTGGAATGTTGTAACTGGCTTTTTAGTTGGCTTCTTATATTTGTATTTGCATTGTAGAGTTTATGTGACCATCCACAGCTAAAAGGGTACTTACACCGTCAAAACAGAAGCACCCCCAAACCATGACACTCAGACGGGGAGCGTGGTTGTGTTTTTACACTAAAAGACATCTTGGCTTCTACTTTTCTTCATTAGATCTCCAAACATAAACTTTCTGATCTTTACCTACTATAGCCTGAAAGTCATCTGAAAATATACCTTTGGACCAATGGTACGTGATTCCAGTCCAGTGTTTATGGGATCTGGCAAAGGCCCTCCTCTTGAGTGAGTGAGTGAGTTTGGTTTAACGCCACTTTTAACAGTATTACAGTTATATCGCGGTGTGTCAGCTTAATGTGGGAGGAAAGCCCGAAGTGATGCAGGTCTCAGACGTTTACCACTTCGGTGAAACCCACGAGCACGGGTATGGTGCTGAAAAACCTAGAAACATAATCGGGGCGAACCGGGATTCGAACCCACAATCATAGGTTTTTTGGCGTGCCCAAGGGACGCAACTCTGCACAGCGAATCGCGGCGCCTTAGACGACTGGGCCAGCCCGTGCCCCCTGCCCTCCTCTTGAACCGATCTTGATAGGAGATGGTTGTTTTCTTTTTATCTACCCGTCTACGATAACCGTTTTCATATACACGCCTTTGTATTGTCCTCTGTGATAATGTCACTTGGGATGATTAGTTTAATAGTGAGGAAGTATATCCTGTAAAGACTTCCTTCTGTTACACTTTACAAGCTTAAACAATGACAGTGTGTCGGTATGTGTTGATTTTCTTCTCCCACTTCTGGGATGGTTTTTAGTATCTTCTCCTTATGAACAACACTTGATAAATTTACAAAAGGATAAACCTGTTCATCACAGTAATTTTACCAATTTCACATCCACTTTTGCCTTCAGATTTCAATTTTATGATAAGTTGTTTGTGGCAAGGGGTCGGATCTTTGCCTCTTGCCCCCATGTCACTGAAGAGGACGTCACAACTAGCATTGAGAGTTATTTCGCCTGTGTTGGAAAAATTCAACAGGTGTTATGGCAATTTTGTACCCCCTAAAATTTTACCCTCGATATTACTCTATGACCCAAAATGTGCAGTCAGATGTTATCAATAAACCCCCAGCTTAACTATGGCGGCAATTTTGTGAACTTCGATATGGCACGTGTTGCATTGTTTTAAGTTTTTTAAGTACTGCGCTGTATAGCGGGTGCTACCAGTGGGACAGGACATGCTTGCCCTTTTGGGGAAGACCTGATGTCATCACTGATTTCTGGTGGTCCATTTGTGTGATTTTCACAGCTGTTTTGCCGTTTACGCCAGGTGAAGTCTGTTTCGTCAGATAATCTCGACTGTTGTTCTCCTGAATTGACAGTTTGTATTTAATGTAGATTACTGCATACCACATGAATATAAAACCTCAACGCCAGAGGGGGCGGTCGGGTAGCCTAGAGGTTAAGGCGTTAGCTCGTCACGCCGAAGACCCGGGTTCGATTCCCGACATGGGTACAATGCTAAAAAAGGCGTAAAACCATACTCACTCACTCACTCACTCACCCAACGCCAGAGAATAACCAGTCTCGATGATGCGACGAAACATATTCCTTCTGGGCGTAAAAGGCAAAATAATTGATCACTTAAAAGGGTAGGCATATCCTGCCCTATCTGTGGCACCCGCCACTCACACACTATCGAAAGGATACCTGATTAATTGATTACACGGATCTACATGGATACGTCTTGAACTCTATCCAGACATAATCGCACACATGGAAATGCACTATTTCATGCAGTGTGTGTTTGTTGAAAGCGCCGACTAAAGATGATCGGGTGATCAGGTTCAACTCTCACCCGGATCTTCACGGGTTTAGTATATGTGTTATTTACGGCATTGCGGTGTTCAATAAAATAAAGCGACAAAACCATTTCTATATCCAATAAAAGGATTGTACGATTCCGACAATATCATGTGCATGTGTTTATGAATCACTATCAAATAGTAATGATGCCAGGTGTTCGCGGAAAGGTAAGCGTATCCTGCCCCACCGCAGAAGTATCGTAAGTCCCCATGGTACCTAGTATGTTGACCTACCTTTGGTTATTGGTGATCTATAGCCCATTTTTATTGTGTACTGTTATGAATTGTTATGACTTTTATTATGATATGCTAGTTTTAAAATCTACATCTGTGATAGTGTGGTGTTTTTACTTTCCTTTGCCGATAGATTTTAATGTCTATATTTATGTATTATTAATGTACAACTAGATTTAGTCACGATAGGGCCGAAATATTGCCGATGTGACTATAAATCTTTACTCACTCACTCACTCCTGCCCCACCGGTGGCACCCGTCACAAACACATGCAAAGGCAAGTCAATTGTTTTGCTTGAAAAAACACGGGAACATATGGTACCAGTCAAAAGAGGGAATTGCATCGGACATTATTTTTGTCACTGCTGCGTCAATTTGGAAAGCGTTTTTTTTTAAGAAACGTTAAACAAGGTCGTGCATTTTCGATCGTTCCCTACATACGCAAAGATGTTACCTAAAGTCGGTTCTGTGTCACCAAAATTTCGGCATGCTAATCTTTTTGTTTATATCTTACTTAATAGCATTCTCTGAATAATAAGAGTGAGTGAGTGAGTTTGTGAGTTGGGTTTTAACGCCGCTTTTAACAGTATTCCAGTTATATCACAGCGTGTCAGCTTAATGGGGGAGGAAAGCCCGAAGTGATGCAGGTCTTAGACGTTTACCACTTCGGTGAAACCCACGAGCACGGGTATGGTGCTGACAAGCCTAGAAACATAATCGGGGCGAACCGGGATTCGAACCCACAACCATAGGTTTCAGGCGTGTCCAGGGGACACAACTCTGCACAGCGAATCGCGGCGCCCTAGACGACTGGGCCACCCGTGCCCCCCTGAATAATAAGATCTGATATGTGGCGTCAGAGTAATATTCGGAGGGGGCACGGGTCGCCAAAGGCGCCGCATTTCGCTGTGCAGAGTTGCGTCCCCTGGGCACGCCAGAAACCCATTTTTTGTGGGTTCGATTTGCCCCGATTATATTTCTAGTTTTGTCAGCACCATACCCGTGCTTGTGGGTTTCACCGAAGTAGTAACGTCTGAGACCTGCATCACTTCGGGCTTTTCTCCCACATTAACCTGATACACCGTGGTATGAGGGGGAATACATTTCACAGCGGCGTTAATCCCAATTCACACAGTCACTTAAATATTCGGTGAAGGGAAGTAATAGGAGCACCAGGATCTTTGCTTTTCCAGGTGCAAATATTGCCGGAGTTCTGACGTTCTTCATCTCGGGATATCTCGGCGGCGTCTCCATGGACAACGGATGGCCTCTCATCTTCTACGTGTTTGGTAAGTCGACATTCGGCCAAACTCGTAAGCTTCCGTGAATCTCCCGTAAAGACCCAGTAAGCAAAACATCTACTGTATTGAAATTTTCTGCTTACATAAAAAGGAAAATTTCTTTTTTGTGTGTCTATTTTTGTTCATTTGCATTTTTTATTAATATGTTCCAAGTGGGTATGAAACATGATTCCATGCCTGTGTTCCATGCATGTATGTGTTACGCTGATATGACAATGAAATATGTGCTCTTGAAGATGCGAAGACAGGTATCGATTTGTTGTCCAGACCGCTCCATGTAACTTCAGAGAAGCCATTCTGACCAGTCGATCAACAATTCAAGTAGTGTGCATGTGTGGGGAACAGGAGTTGCTGTTTGTACTCGTGACATGTCCTATTGATCTGTTAACCACTCTCTGCTGATCTGCTCAACATTTCCTGTTGATCTGTTAACAACTCTGATGATCTGCTCACCATGTCCTGTTGATCTGTTAACCACTCTCTGCTGATCTGCTCAACATTTCCTGTTGATCCGTTAACCACTCTCTGATGATCTGCTCAACATTTCCTGTTGATCTGTTAACCACTCTCCGATGATCTGCTCAACATGTCCTGTTGATCTGTTAACAACTCTGATGATCTGCTCAACACGTCCTGTTGATCTGTTAACCACTCTCTGATGATCTTCTCAACATTTCCTGTTGATCTGTTAACCAATCTCTGATGATCTGCTCAACATTTCCTGTTGATCTGTTAACCACTCTCTGATGATCTTCTCAACATTGCCTGTTGATCTGTTAACCACTCTCTGATGATCTGCTCAACATTTCCTGTTGATCTGTTAACCACTCTCTGATGATCTGCTCAACATTTCCTGTTGATCTGTTAACCACTCTCTGATGATCTGATCAACATTTCCTATTGATCTGTTAACCACTCTCTGATGATCTTCTCAACATTTCCTATTGATCTGTTAACCACTCTCCGATGCTCTGCTTAACATTTGCTGTTGATCTGTTAACCACTCTCTGACGATCTTCTCAACATTTCCTGTTGATCTGTTAACCACTCTCTGATGATCTGCTCAACATTTCCTATCGATCTGTTAACCACTCTCTGATGATCTGCTTAACATTTGCTGTTGATCTGTTAACCACTCTCTGATGATCTGCTCAACATTTCCTATTGATCTGTTAACCACTCTCTGATGATCTGATCAACATTTCCTATTGATCTGTTAACCACTCTATGATGATCTTCTCAACATTGCCTGTTGATCTGCCAACAACTCTCTGATGATCTTCTCAACATTTCCTGTTGATCTGTTAACCACTCTCTGATGATCTTCTCAACATTGCCTGTTGATCTGCCAACAACTCTCTGATGATCTTCTCAACATTTCCTGTTGATCTGTTAACCACTCTCTGATGATCTTCTCAACATTTCCTATTGATCTGTTAACCACTCTCTGATGATCTGATCAACATTTCCTTTTGATCTGTTAATCACTCTCTGATGATCTGATCAACATTTCCTTTTGATCTGTTAACCACTCTCTGATGATCTTCTCAACATTTCCTGTTGATCTGTTAACCACTCTCTGATGATCTGCTCATCGTGTACTGTTCATCTGTTAACCACTCTCTGATGATCTGCTTAACATTTCCTATTGATCTGTTAACCACTCTCCGATGCTCTGCTTAACATTTCCTATTGATCTGTTAATCACTCTCTGATGATCTGCGCAACATTTCCTGTTGGTCTGTTAACCACTCTCCGATGCTCTGCTTAACATTTCCTGTGGATCTGTCAACCACGCTCTACTGATCTGCAAAACATTTCCTATTGATCTGTTAACCACTCTCTGATGATCTGCTCAACATTTCCAGGTCATCTGATTAACATCTTGTTGCTGACCTGATAACCCCTTTCATTTGACTAATCACATCCACGCCTACACTGTTATAGCACATTAAGAGTATGAATGTTTTTTTAATGATAAATTCGATTCTCTACTTTTGGAGCATCACACTTAGAACACGTTAAAAGAGCTTCACATGCATATCAATATGCCAAATTAAGCTTTGTCATTAGACAAAAATTAGTTCGAAAAAGGACAATAAAATGACAAAAGACCATAAATTCAGGAAACCCAGGTCGTCTTTATTGAGGTATAACCACTATTTGATGGTGATTCATGGACGCACGCTCATGATGTGATCGGAATCGTACCATCGACCGTTCTGGCGGAGATTTGTTATGAATATGAAAGGGTTCTGTTCTTTTATAACATCGCTTATTTGAGATATTTGCTGTCATTACATGTTTGAAGCTCGTCTTTGATTGGGCCCAGGCAAGACATAAACAAATGATTTTCAAATACACAACTTGTGAAACTTCGTTTTTCTTTCTCTCAAACCTGCATCACTTCGGGCTTTCCTCCCACATTAAGCTGACACGCCGCGATATGATTGGAATACTGTTAAAAGCGGCGTTAAACCCAACTCACTCACTCACTCACTCGTTTTTCTTTCAAAAGGGTGTCCTTCACAAAACCAATCAACTAAAACTCACAAATCCTGAATAATGTTTAAGTGAGCCCTTTGTGTTCAGGTGGCTATACCCTCCTGTGTGTGTTTCCGTGGGTGCTGTTTGTTTCCGAATGCCCGAGGGATCACCCCCACATCACGGAGACAGAGCTTAAACTTATCACCAGGGATCAGACAGCAGGACAAAAGGACAGAGAGGCACGTGAGATATCGTTCATGGTAGATCTCAATGGTCACATTATGCTTTCATTCTATTTGGATTCCGTGAGTGTTCAAGTTTTGGTCAAATGCTTGTTTTAAAAAATTCCCCTCCAAGCGATGAAGGTCTCAGAATTGTATCACTTTTGCGGAACACACGTGCATGGGTATAATGCTGATACACCTGGCAACATAATCAGACCGAACCAGGATTCGAACCCAAAGGTTTCTGGCTAGCCTAAGGGATGCAACTCGGCACAGCGAATTGCGGCGCCTTAGACCACTTGACCACCCTTGCCACTGTTTGGTGAAGGATGGAAGGGGTGTGTTGTTTAACGTTTCTTTATCGTCATGTGAGGTGAAATGGGGTTTAACGTCGCGTCCAAGATTATTGCACTTATATAGCGACTTGCATGACGTGTGTCTGTGTATGTGTGGCTGCTTGTACTAGTCCGGCCCATTTTCTAGTGCTTGCCCACTGAGATACCATGCCGCAGTTTAACATGAATACCCTACTCGGACACAGTATACTGACTCCGAGCTGACCAGTCCTTGTTTTAGCCCCTAAATGCCGAGCGCCAGACAGGGTAACAACAAGTACCATATTTTAACGTCTTTTGGTATAACGCGGCTGGGATCGAACCCCGGACCTTCCGCACTCCGGGGGGACGCTCTACCACTAAACCACGGAGGCGGTCCACGGAGAACACACAACACCACATAAATGGATTATCATTATTGCTCAGTGTGCAGATATCCCTCTTCAATCATGCTAGGCATTGGCTGTTAAATATATTTGTTTATATTTCAATCACACGAATCACGTTTTTATTTACCCTGGAAGTGCAACCAAACAAACCAGTGAGTCAGTATGGTCTCACGCCGCTTTTAGCAATATTCCAGCAATATCACGGCGGGGGACACCAGAAATGGGCTTCACACATTGTACCCATGTGGGGAATCGAACGAGCGAACGCTCTAACCACAAGGCTACCCCACCGCCCACCAAACAAAGGAACACAAAAAGTAACTTTAATTTGTAATCTGAAAAACACAAATACCTTACCGGAAAAAATAATATCTTATTTAGTTTACATATAAAGCTGATGTCCGATGCAGTTCCTTATTTTGACTTGTACCCGTGTTTTTTTCGGGTGAACAATTGACTTTCCTATGCATGTGTTTGTGACGGGTGTCACCGGTGGGGCACTATATGCTCACCTTTTGGGTAACATCTGGTCATTCATAGTGAGTGAGTGAGTGAGTTGTGTTTAACGCCGCTTTTAACAGTATTCCAGTTATATCGCGGCGTGTCAGCTTAATGTGGGAGGAAACCCGAAGTGATGCAGGTCTCAGACGTTTACCACTTCGGTGAAACCCACGAGCACGGGTATGGTGCTGACAAACCTAGAAACATAATTGGGGCGAACCGGGATTCGAACCCACAATCATAGGTTTCTGGCGTGCCTAAGGGACGCAACTCTGCAGAGCGAATCGCGGCGCCTTCGACGACTGGGCCACCCGTGCCCCCTGGTGATTCATAAACACATGCTCATGACAAAGTCGGAATTGTACAGTCGACTCTGCTTTTATCAGCGCTTTCGTATGAATATGGAAGGGGTTTTGTCGCTTGTAGTACACTTATTCAATCATTTCCTTATTCAAAATCAGCGTCCATGTTGCAGATGTTGAGGCCGCCATGGTGGAAGATGGTCACGTCACCGGCGTTCTGGGCCATCTGCGTCGCCCGCATCTGTCACGCCTGGGTGATGTCATGTATCATGTCCTACCTGCCAAAATACATGAATCAGATGCTCAAGTACGACATTGAAGAGGTGAAGACTGTGATCCATTCCAATTTTGTTAGACCCGTGAAGGCCCGGGGTAGAATAGGTCTTCAGCAACCCATGCTTGCCGTAAAAGGCGACTATGCTTGTCGTAAGAGGCGACTAACGGGATCGGGTGGTCAGGCTCTCTGACTTGGTTAATGCATGTCATCGTATCCCAATTGCGTGGATCGATGCCCATGATGTCAATCACTGAATTTTCTGTTCTAGACTCGATTATTTACAGACCGCCGTCATATAGCTGGAATATTGCTGAGTGCGGCGTTTAACAACAAACAAACAATTTTGTTATGCACACCAATCTCGAAATTAACACATGATACAAATTACAGGTGTACATGAATTACATTTTGAACTGTCATGGAGATGATTTAATGTCTCCTCTTATGTGAAATACAGATAGAATCTTTTTAAAAATTAAAAGTAACTCATTCTGCAGAATGGTATGGTGTCGTCAGTGCCGTATGCTGGAAGGTTGTTGGTTGGCCTGGCTTCAGGCTACATATCTGACTGGGTGCTCTCCAGGAGAATTCTGTCAACAGCCAATACAAGGAAGATGTTCCAGCTCGTGGGTACGTCGTGGCAAGATGTCGTTTGTTATCTATTGTCTTACTTTTCGCAAATGTCACATATAACATGGTTTATCAAGATTTAATGATTATTATCATGTTCTTGGCGAGATGCGTTCCCTACTGTACGCCATTGGCATTAATTTTGATATCTTATACTGGCTTCCACGGAAGGTAAACAGAAAAGGATAGTTTGCATGTATCCAGCTGGCGATATAATTTATCTGAATTATGATTGTTTGTCCGATTGATTTGCTGTTGATTAATATTTCGATGGACTTAAGCTTGAGCAAAAAGTCTAAATGTTAAAACCTTGAAAGAAAAGTTCTTGTTGTTAAATTATCTAACTCATTTTCTGACGGGGAAGTTAAGTTAATGTTATCAAAACCGAAAGATGTCGAAATAGCCGACTGAAGAGTGAGTGAGTGAGTTGGGTTCAACGCCCCTTTGAACAGTATTCCAGTTATATCGCGGCGTGTCAGCTTAATGTGGGAGGAAAGCCCGAAGTGATGCAGGTCTCAGACGTTTACTTCGGTGAAACACACGAACACGGGTATGGTGCTGACAAACCTAGGAACATTATTGGGTCGAACCGGGATTCGAACCCACAAACATAGGTTTCTGGCGTGCCCAAGAGACGCAACTCTCCACAAGGAAACATCATCATTCTATTAATCCTCGTGAACATTTCAAAACGTCATGTACATATATAGGCCCTATATTTTAACTGACGTGGTATACTTTCCAGGCTGCCTTGGGTGCGCTGCGTGCATTATTCCTGTCGGGTTTCTGGACCACGAGAATCGAACTCTGGCTGTGATTCTGTTGATACTTGGTTTGTCCCTGCAGAACTGTACATCTGTCGCCTTCAGAATCAATCACCTCGATATAGCACCAAGGTTGGTGCTACTTCTCAACTTTTATAATAAACTGACGTCCAAAAGAAACTTTACCAGAGTTTGAAATTACTCTTGCTCAAAAACAACACAACATACATGCATGAAGTAAAGTGTATTAAGAAGATCAATATATCAACATAATCAACACTGAAAATGACAATCATACCGCAACCGAGAATGACGCTTTCAAAATCATGGACAATAGGCAGAGTACATAAACAATCGCTCACGTTCAATAACAAGGCATTAGTAGCGTGTGTGACCACCAAATGCCTCAATACACGCAAAAAACTCTTCGACGCACAGAAAAAGTCAGTCGTCTGATGAGGTCACGTTGGATTTGACGCCATTCTTCTTGGATGGCCAAGATCAGTTCTTGCCGGTTGGCTGGAAAGTATGGACGTTGTCGAATACGACGATCCATCAAGTCCCAGAGGTGTTCTATGGGGGACATGTCGGGTGAGCGTGCAGGCCACGGCAGGGCGTTGACGTTGTTGGCTGCGAGGAAGTTAGTGACAGTTCAGGCTGTATAGGCTCTAGCGTTGTGATGCTGATAAATGACACCACGTGGCTGCTGTTGGAGAAATGGTAGGACAACTGGACGAAGAATGTTATCCATGTAACGCTGAGCTGTCAAGTTTCCGTCAACGATGACCAGCGGTGTCCTCTCCTGCCCACAGATCCCTCCCCACACCATGACACTCCCTCCTCCATATGGTACGACCTCCTGCACGCAACACGTCGCCGTTCGTTCACCCCTTCGGCGGTAAACACGTTGTCGTCAATCAGCCCTAAACATACAGAATCGACTTTCGTCAGTGAAGATAACCCTCTGCCAGTGACGTCGTCTCCAACGTCGTACAGTCCGGGCTCATCTCAATCGCAGACGACGATGTTGCGCTGTCAATAGCTGTCCTCTGTATGGTCTAAAAGCCCTGATTCCATGAGCCCTGAGTCTCCTGGCCACTGTCTGTCGACTAACCCTGTGACCTAAGGCATTTGCGCCGATGACGTCACTGTCAGGAAGCGATTTCGGAGGTGCAAGGTACGCAAGTACCGGTCATCATGGGGCGTGGCCACCCTGGGTCTGCCTGTTCTTGGCCTGTCAGCGGTCCGCCCTGTCTGTCTGTAACGTTGCATCAAGTTGGTAACGGCAACACGGGAGCGACCGGAGGTTCGTGCAATATGGGCGTGGGTGGCTCCCATCTGTACCATACCCAAGGCTCGTTCACGTTGTTCGGCATTTCTTTTGTGTGTTTTTTTTATGTCTGACTTGCCGTTGCAATCGTTTTTTACCCTTACCCGCACGTGCATTTGCAGTTGTCCGTTGTGCACGTGTTTTTCACTTTTTCGCGTGTTATCTCGCAAACATGTTACAGACGATTAACATTTTCTGCATCCACTATTGTTGTATTTAGGTTATGTGTTTTAGATAGACTTCATCGAAAAAAAAATTATACTTTGTCTGAAGTTTATATTTTCAGTTGGTAAAGTTTCTTTTGGACGTCAGTTAATTATTTATGTATATCTTCTATTGTGTGGAACATCAGGCAGTGGTAGGTGAGGTGAGGTGAGGTGAAATTTGGTTTAACGTCGCGTCCAATATTATTGCACTTATATAGCGACGTGCATGCACGTGTGTATGTGGCTGCTTGTACTAATCCGGACTGATGCCGATTTATAGTGCTAGCCCACTGAGATACCATGCCGCAGTTTAACATGAATATCCCATTCAGACACAGTATACTGACTACGAGCCGACCAGTCCATATTTTAGCCCAAAATGCCGAGCGCCAGACAGACTAACGACAAGTACCATCTTTTAACGTCTTTTGGTATGACGCGGCCGGGGATCGAACCCTGAACCTTCCGCCCTCCGGGGGGACGCTCTACCACTCTACCGGCGGTCACAGGCAATAGTGACAATAGCGGTAATAGTAGTAGGTATTGAAGTACAGATCTGTAGTAATGCTTATTACAAAATGGACTCTTTGTATCAGTCGCAAACGTTAGTGGGTTTTGTCTAACGTCACTTAAACGCCTGTCTGTGTCAGCTGAGAGGTGAGAAGAATGCTCTGGAATGCTTAATCTGGACGAATATGGATTCGAACCCACGATCATAGGTTATTGGTAGCCTAACGGTAGCATCTCGCTTAATACGGCGCCCTTAGCGACAGGGCCACTCATTGGTTACGGTCACGGTTGAAGCAGCAATAACCATGGTAACGTTGGGAAGAGAAACAGATGTGGCAATGGCATCAGCTGTGACAGCAGATGGTGTAGTAACAGTAAACTTCACATACTAAGAACTTTGTTGGTTCACACTGATGCACACAAAACGTGTGGTTCACACAGCATGGAAGTTATCTCAGGCAAATCCCTTGTGCAGAGCTGAAGTTTCTAATTCATATCTGTGTCTCTTTAAGAGATCTTAACGACGTGACATTCCCCTGTGATACTTGTGGTAGAACCTACAGTGACCATGCGTCCATGCAGTTCACTGACCATAATGATATACGGGATCTTTGGCAAAGGGCAGTAACTCTCGCGGACAGACCGGTGGATTGCCGCGAAAGGCAACTGAAGTCAAAAACAATTTCTGTAGGCAATTGTTGTTTTGTGTATATGTTGTTTCGCCGCCACTGTATAAGAAACAGATTTCAGTTGGAACTATATTGGCTACTGTCACTGTCCGACTGTCACATCACTAACCGTGTGACTATATATACAGTAAACTACGGTTATAACGAACTCAAAGGGACCACTAATTTTAATTCGTTATAACCGTAGATCGTTATAAGCAAATGTACGGAATATACACAGCAAATGGACAGGACCAAAAAAATAGTTCGTTATATCCTTCAGTTCGTTATAAGCGTGTTCGTTATAAACGTAGTTTACTGTATATTAATGCGCACATTCCAGGAAAAATTGCAATGTTTCGGTAATGTTTGTGAGAGATGCAAAGCGATTTTCAAGCACAGAATTTAGGAATGACATTATATGATTAAGAGGTTATCACGCTTGTGTGTTTGGGGATGGTAAATATCCTGTATTAGGAATAAACACTATGTATTTAGCTCGCCAAGGCTCGCTAAAAACAATGTTTACAAGTAACACATATGGTAGTAGTAACAGAAAATGTAGAAGTAGTGGTAACAGAATGTGTTGGGGTGATGGTAACAGAAGGTATAGAAGTAGTGGTAACAGACTGTGTTGGGGTGATGGTAACAGAAGGTATAGAAGTAGTGGTAACAGACTGTGTTGGGGTGATGGTAACAGAAGGTATAGAAGTAGTGGAAACAGAATGTGTTGAGGTGATGGTAACAGAAGGTATAGAAGTAGTGGTAACAGAATGTGTTTGGTGATGGTAACAGAAGGTATAAAAGTAGTGGTAACAGAATGTGTTGAGGTGATGGTAACAGAAGGTATAGAAGTAGTGGTAACAGAACGTGTTGATGTGATGGTAACAGAAGGTAAAGAAGTAGTGGTATTAGAATTTGTTCGGGTGATGGT